GTTAATATTGAACCCTTTTAATAGATTAATACCGAAACTGAAAAAATCGTTCCGAATTAATCCAATTCAGTCGGCTTTGATCTATTATTTTAGTAAATTGTCCAAAACTCCAAGTCAGCTAAAGAAATTTCATTTTGGAATTTGTTCACACAAAAATGAATTGCTATTTCTGGTTACTCTAATTGGACTCTTTTAGTTTAGCCCACATTCGAAAATAAGATGAGCTTAGCCCAATCAAAGAGCATAACTAATTAATGGACTCGAAAGCCGTAGGTAACTTAGAACATGGACAGGCCCAACATTCCCTCACCAAAGGCCACGTTCCGTGGATCGAAAGACAGGGAGAAACGGTTTTTAGGCGGGAATGGCGTGAGAAGGGAAGGGAAAGAGGAGTACGCTGTTTTTTGGAGGAGCATACACGGATTCAAGGCCTTTGATTTATACAGGTAAAGAGAATGGGATGTTGCTAATGTGGTTGTCCCAAAATCAGTGTTAGTTGCTTCTCAGGTACTGGTTTTGAGAACTCTGAACTCTTTTGTGCTTAAATTTCATGGTTTGTTTTATCATCTATGGGTGTTCGGTGAAATTCCTGAAAGAAAATCATTGCTATTTTGTCGTATTCTGCATTTGGTTTTGAGGGGAGTTAAGCAGCAGGAAGGTAGAGCCTGTGACTGTGAGAATGCTTGAGTGCAAAAGTTGGTTTTGAATTATTTACTCAATACCCGAAATTACATGTTCATTTCTCATCACCCCCTTTCCAGGGTTGATTCTTTCTGTATCTATATACAAAATAAGAAACAAAAGGAAGAAAAATAAAATTAAAGGGTTTAAGGAGAAAATGAAGAAGAGGTGGAAGAAGAAGGAGATAGAGATGGGGAATCATAGCAGGTACAACTTGGGTCATGAATTGCCTTCGTCCTGGTTTTGTCAAGTTTGGAGCAAAACACACAATATTTCCCGCGGAATTCTCCATATTTGTCCTTGATTTCTTCGTCTTCATCGTCATTTTCTGTGTTGTCTTCCTCACTCTCTGCGTCATCTGGAGTTGTGTAAATCAGACCCACCTTTGGCAGGATTATTCCAAGGATTTTATCAACAGTGTTGTCGACCCACTTGCTTGCTCTCTTCCAAAAAATTAATGGTGCAACGACTGCTGCTGCTCCTACACCAAACCCCGCCCCAATGAATATGAACTCCCAATCAAATTCATCATTCTCATTCTTTTCTGCCACATCGGATTGTGAATTGTGGCCATTGTTGGCATTTTTGCAACTTTTTGTCAAAGGATAGCCACATAGTCCCTTATTCCCTTCATAGGACTCATTTTCGAATGTTAAAAATTGCTTTCCAGCTGGGATAGGTCCCTCCAGTTGGTTGTGTGAGAGGTTAAGGAATGCCAGGAAATTAAGGTTTACCAGCTGCGGAGGAATACTTCCATTCAGGTTGTTACTTGAGAGGTCCAAGGATTCCAGCTGTTGCAACTTTCCTAGAGATGGTGGGATTGCACCTGTGAGAGCATTGTGTGACAAGTTGAGAACATAGAGCGCTTTGAATTCTCCTATCACATCTGGTATTGGCCCTTCAAATTTGTTGAATGAAAGGTCAATGGAGGTGAAAAGAGTTAGGATCTTTACCAGCTCCATTGTTAGACCTTTGTTGGTAACTGTTATGCCGTCCACATAATACAATCCACTGAGTTGTAGAAACCCAAATTGAAGGTGTTTAACACTTAATTGGGTTTCATTGTCATCAATCATCATTGCCTCCCATGTTGCTAAGCATTGCTTTGGTAGTCTTCCAGTAAAACTATTGTGAGCAATGTCAACAATTTGAAGCTTTGACCAGGGAGCCTTACTTTCCAGACAACCAATTTTCCCATGAAACTCATTTGATCGCAAAACCAGAACCCGCAAAGTGGATATATTCTTCAAATGGCAAGGAAAAGAATCATTGATCTGATTGTTACCAAGGTCTAACACCTCCAGCTTTTTGCACCTAGAAAGGGATCTTGGAATCTTCCCTTTAAGTTCATTGCCATTGACATCTAGTGTTTGTATGGAACAATCACTTGGAAATAAATCAGGAATATTGCCATTGAGACTGTTGCTGCCAAGATTCAGAACCCCTAGAGATGTTGCCCATTGAATTAAACATTCTGGAATTGCACCAGTCAGATTGTTGTTGGACAAGTCAAGAACTTGCAGGTAACTAGCTTTACATATTGAATAAGGAATGACACCTGTAAGGCCATTGCTTGAGAGAGAAAAGAAAATAGTGTATGACAGGTTGCTACCAATGTTAGGTGGTAGAGAAGAAGTAAAATTATTTCTTGAATAATCCAGAAAGCTCGCGGATGGAGGCAGAGTTGGGATATTACCACTGAGATTGTTAGAATGCAGGTCAAGGACTGAGAGACTAGGCATTTGATAAGGCTTTTTCAGACTCTCTAGATGATTAAATGAAAGGTTCAGATACTGGAGAGAGCCACTGCCAACATTCCAAAGCCAATTGGGTACTTCACCAGAAATTTGGTTGTCTGAAAGATCCAGATAGGTTAGTTTTGATTGGTTTTTTAGATCAGGAAACACTTTCAGCCTGCAAGAAGCCAGTTCTAGTCTAGCAATCTTGGGGAAGGATGACAAGGTAGAATAGCTGCCAGTTGCATTGACAGACAGCTTGCTATGTGAAAGGTCAAGACGTGTGAGATTGCCAAGCTTCTGAATGTCTCCTAGCTGTATGGTGCCATTGAACCTGTTGGAAGAAAGTAACAGGATGTTTAGTCTGCTGAGATCAAAAACAGACTTGGGTATAGGCCCTTGCAGTTTATTGCTGCTGAGATCAAGAGTATCCAATAAAGATTGTGGCGCATTTGGAACGTCAAGAAATTTGCCGTCAAATTGATTGTTGGAAAGCATAACCTTCTTCAGTAACGGGAGTGCCAAAAGAGAGGAGGGAATATTCCCATGAAGAGAATTGTGACTTAAATCAATGTGAGTAAGATTTTGAAGGCCTTTCCAGTCAGATGATTGGATCTCACCAGTCAGATTATTATGAGAGAGGTCTATATATGCAAGATTTCTGGACACATCAAATAGTGGAATTTGACCAGCGAAGTTATTGAATGACAAGTCCAGAAAAACAAGCTGTTGGAGATTTGAGGTTGAGTTTAGAATTGCTCCACTGAAATGGCAATAGGAAAGGTCTAATCTTGTCAAGTTCACAAGGTTGCCTATAGACCGTGGTAATGACCCGGAAAAATTTGTTTTGCTCAGCACTAGGATCCGAAAAGAAGCATTATGATTGAATTCTGGCAAGGAACCCTCAAGTTTTTCATTTTCGGATATTTCAAGGGACTGTAGCATCCTTACCTGGAGTATCTCTTTTGGAAATAGTCCATGCAAGCCACACGAACTGAGCCGCAAGGAAGTCAAATTTGAAAGTTTAGCAAGGAATTTTGGAACCTCAGTCGACAAATTATTCTTATCCAAATGAATAACTGAGAGATTCTTCAAGTTTTGGAGGTGAGATTCAATTGGTCCAGAAAGATGACAGTTGGACATGCTCAGCACTTGCAATTTACTTAATGAAGCAGATATGGCCTGGCACCACTGTTTGCCCTGCTCTGATATCTTCACGCCATCAAGGTGCAGTTCTTCTAGCATACTCAGATTTTGAACAAGCATTCGTAGATTTGGGTTTTCAAGCTTCAATGAAACTTGTCCAGGGAAGTTTAGCGTAGATAAATCAAGAGTAACCAACCTTGTCATACCTGAAATCGCCTCAGGAATTTGACCTTGGAAGCCAGCATTTGACAAATTGAGGTAACTCAAATTTGCAAGCTCATTAAGTCTGGAAGGAATACTGGAGTTGAATCTGTTGTATGCCAAATTTAGACTCTGGAGATTCTCAAGACTGAAGAGGCTGCTTGAATTTTCAATCACACCGGAAATTGATTGGTTGCTCAAGTTTAGGGCGATAACCCGACCACCTGCATCACAGCTCACACCATCCCAAGAACAGCAATCCGTGGTTTGATTCCACTTCACCAACTTCACAGATAAAGTAGAATTGAGGCCATTTTTCAATCGGAGCAACAAATCTCGCTGATCGCTTTGACATTGGCCAGAAACCAAAACTACAGCGATGCTAAAGAAAACTGCTATGAACGAATTCAAGAAAAGCCATGAAAAGAGTGAAATCCTCATTCCTAACGGTAACCGGAGATATCCATGCAAGTAAGAATTATGAAGAAGATAGCAATGGGACTTGGTTGAGGAGGGTGCAGGCCCACAAACATGAGCTTTTGGCGTAACCTGTTCGAGTGGTGACTGACCAAACACTCACCCGATTTGGCACGGGAAGGCAACCCAAAATGTGGAATGGGGGAGACAGAAGAAAGAAGAGGAGAAGCAAGGGAGAGGCAGGCAATTTGGGTTGGTCAGCAAACAGAGAACCGTCAAAGGCAAACCGCGTAGCTCCGTGTGTTTGTTCTTCTAGTTGCAAGGCTTTTTGCATATCACTACACTCTGTACAAAGACGCGTTGTTTCTTGTCGGCTTTTCTTTAGTATGATTATTGGTTGAAGACTTTGTGAAGGGCTGCAGTTTCCTACTTTTCCAAGCTTTAGCCAACTTAGAAAAATCAAACCAAAGAATTGACTGGTGTTGATTTAAAGCTCCTAACCATCCTTGAATAAATTAATAGAAGACAAACCACATTTTAGAACATGGCTTTCTTTCTGCCCATTCTCTGTTGCCTTTTTCAACCAGTTCTGATTGCATGAAGTCATTGCCTACTAACTACAATGGAAGCTTACCAAGTCCTGTTTACAGTAATTAAACTTTGCCATCTCAATATTTCCATTTTTTTGCTTATTCCCAAAGTTTGAAAATGAAATAAATCATGACTTTTAACCTTGAAATTAAGTCATTTAACAGGGGTTTTGCCTTTTGTTCCTTTTCACATGGATGGGAATTTGTTTTCATATGATTGCTGTAGTCTTCTCATGAGGAATTGAGGATTTGGTTTTGTATATACTAGAGTGGTGCCCCGCTTCGCTTGAGTGTTGAATTTTTTATTAAAAATACTTTTAAATTACTTAATATTATAAATCATAATAATAATAATTAAAGAGAAATAATTTTAAATTTAAAGATATTATAAATAATACTTATAATGATAAATTAAAGCTAATTATTTTTTTAAAATATTTTCTCATCTCTTATTAAGTAAAATTTTTTATTTAAATAATTTTTTTTTGAAAACGGTTGATTTTTTATATCTTAATATATGCTAATGTTGATATATGTAATCATATTTTGTTAATTATATGATTCTAATAGTGAAATCAAATTCATATTGAGAAAAATAATATTTTAAAAGAAATTATTGATAAGCTATGTAATTGATACAATAAAATTATTAAAATAAAATAAATAATTTTTAAAGTCAAAATAAAATGAATATTAATTATACTTATTAATTTCTTTTAGTTTTAACAATGAAATTTTCTAAATGATCTTCAATTTTAATTAATTTTTTTTATTTTATGCCTTTATAATTATTTAAAATTAATCCACCTTGTGATCCCTATCATGTATTATTAAAAATTAAAAATTAAAAATTTATTTCACTTAAAACTTGGATAAAATCCCCAAATATTTTTTTATATTTTATTTTATAAAAAAAATATATTTCTCAATACACGGAAGTACTGTTAGCTTCAATTTTGAATGAACCAAAACCCCATCACTCAATGAGGGGAAAAACCCCTAATGAAGCTAAAGAAAAAAAAAATTCCCTGTTGACAACCCTAAATGCAACCGACCCCACAAAAAACATCCCAAAATTCTTATATTATGTTATATATATATATATATATATAGTGTTATATAGACTAATTCATGAGCATTCAATAATTAATGCTTTGGTCTTCAGTGGTTGCCGGCTAGTCTGAATTTAATCTTTTATTAATTCTATTTTGTAAAGAGGGGAAAGGGAAGTCAAAGGTCCTCAAGAAGAACAAAGAACTTAAATCAAATTACTATCATTTTCAGGCATCCACCATTTTTCCTTCTTGTTGGTGCTAGAAAAACTAACCAATTTGTTACTGTTTTTCAGGGCAATGGCCCCTGGCCTAACCACTTCTGTATTTTTTTGTTACAGCCAAGGAGCCAAATGCTGAAAGAAACAACTCAACTGATAGACAAGCAATCAATATGGATTTAACAAAAAGAGAGAGAAGGAGAGAAGGATTTTGTCAAAAACTCTTCACATGGAACGGATGCTGTAACGAATCATGATCATAAGCTTGAAGATGTTGACGTTTCTGGTGTAATTCGACAAAATCTGCATCACCCTCTGCTTTTTTAAAAGTCAGGGAAACGTTGGGAGTACCACTCACAATGTGAACTACCAAGTGGAAAACATTGACTAAGTCACAGGTCTCTGTTCCTTGTATTCTTTCTTGTTCTTCACTGCCAAATTTTGGGTCTTGATTCATCATGGATTTTGAGAATTTACTAACCTGGAACATGGGTTTTGTCCAAATTTAATAATTCAATATTTAAGACTTAAATCCGAATTTACTTTTAGGAAACAAAAAGAGTATATATAAATGCAATATTAGAATTTTTTTCCTTTAAATATGTAAATATTTAAAACCAAAACTTCTTTTTAAAAAATAAAACTTTAATTTTTTTAAAAGAATCCATATTATTATATAATTGTAATTATATAATACGAAATTTTGAATAGTAACTTATATTCTAAGTACTTCAATTGGAAAAAGTATGCAATCATTGAAAAAATTCATCAAAGTCAATTAAACTAGTTTATAGTGTAAACAAGAGCCGTCAGATGAACCATAATCAGAAATTACTTCATCCAAACCAAGAAGAAGAAAACAAAGGACAGCAAAGCATAACGTACAACAAAAGCAAACACGAAGAAATAAGTACAAAAGAAATGTTAAAATGGTCCCATGATAATAAATCATGATTAGCCACCATGAAAGAGCAGATCAAATGGTTCAGTAGGCAGAAATTTGTCGTGTTAAACGACTAAATTGTTTAAAGGTAGGGTACACTTTTTCCATGGATTCACACCAGATTGCAGACAATGGACAATGGGGAGACTTTTCTGCCCAAGTAGGCCCATCATCTACCCCACGTTTTCCAGGGCTCTGCTGGGATTGGGGACCTTCTCGAATCCATTTAAGCAAGTTTCACTGCCCGTTAGGTTTTGGATGTTACGGCCCCAACGGGTGTCCTTGACTTGAAGCTATCCTGCTCCAGAAGAAACCAGGTTCTGTCATCTCAATCTGTGCCGGATTGGAATGCTTTCCACTCAATGGATAAATATTTTTTTTTAATTTTGGATTTTACTGTTTATTAACAAAATTTTGATAATTTATACTAAATATAGTATTAACTGAGTAGCTGAGTATTGAGTTTCCATTGATTAGATGATTGTGGAACCAAGTTTTGGAGTGAAACTGACGTTTAAGACTAAAGGCAAAAACTGATCTTACAGGGATGTGCTGCTTTGTAGACCACGAATAGCAGAGGGAAAGCAACTGATGAAGATGAGGTTTGAAGCTTTGGCATGAAGGGAATTTATTAAGGTGTCATGATTATGGCACCAATTACTGCAATCTGCAAGACTTTGGATGATCAGAGGAGACTGCAAGAGTAAATTGCTAGCCTACCTACTACAAGTTTGGTTGAATGCTTGCCTTTTTTTCCTTTTGAGCTAAATGAGTTTGGTTGAAAGTCCATATCAAGAGTGGTAGTCCATATTCTAACCAGCTTTCCACGACTTGGCAGAACCCTGAAATAATTCTATAAACCTTTTGGCATTACATGGCAAAATTATTTACTTTACAGCCTTTCTATCTGTGCTTCAAGAGTTTTACACATTAGACAAGCACATCACTTTGTTAAAATAAATTTTTAATTTCTTACGGTTACTTATCTGATCAGTCTAGTGCATGATACGATAGGACGAACCCAGATTTTATTATGGTAAATCGTATCTAAATGCTTGTAAATCTGCGTGTTGCTTGCTGGAATAGATACCATATAGAAGCTGTTAGGAAAATTGCTCAAAAAACAATAAAATAAAATTTAGAAAAATCAAGCAAACAGAGAAACACAAAAATTTATGTGATTCGATCTCTTACTTACGTCTATAGAGTGAAACCATTCTTCTATTATTCAGAAATTAAAATATAATAAATTAACTTTTATGGTTTTTCAAATTAACCTAAGATCCCTTGCACACTTTTTATTAATAACCTCTCAAGAACACTTAATGAAACCACTTTAGCTCTACCTAGAGCAAAAGACAAAGTTACAAAGTGTCTCTTCTCTTGAGCTCTTAAAGCACTACTTATAATTTTAAAACCTAGAGATTCACTTTTATAAAATAAAAATTCAAAGTAGAATGTGATTATGACTTGATGTAGAGTAAGAAGTTTAAAATCATACAACTACTTAATATTGTACACAAACAAGAATCCTAATCAAATAAGATTTAAAATTCTAATCAACTTAAAACTCAACAAATCTCCACCTTTAAGTTGAATTCAAACTCCTTAAACCTCTTCAACCAGTCGCATCCAATTGCAACTTCTTAACTCCACTTACTTTCCAACACCTTTAACAACTTTCCAAGCATAAGACTTTCCAAACCATTGGCTTTTAAAATTACCATGACTACACATACCAAATCAAGTATGGTCCAACACTTGATTCCACATAATGGCCATGCACCTGTGTAGCCATAAAGTCAATGGGACTAATTTACTGACCTCAACGACTCTTCTAAATCACTAGTGGCAGGATTTTTCATCTTTTCACCATCGTCTATGCCATGAGAACCTTTCATCACTCGATAAATGAAATCTCACTTTAGTAGTTACCATGTCCTGTCCATTGTTCTCATCTCGTCGAGGCCTCACATTCTAGACGATACAAACCATTATGCAAATTACCTCTCATCAAGATCATGTGGTATTGTGTGACTTTTACCACTTCATTACAAGCAGAATATTCATACTCTTTGGAGTCTAACAAGTTTAATGATATTAAATTTTTACGCATCTTTGGAATATAGGCTACACCACCCAAAGAGCATACAACCACATCAAACATTTTGATTTTTATTAGTCAAGAACCCATGACTTTCATTATTGACTTATTGCCCAAAGTTAAATTCCCAGTTACACCTTCTTGAAATAAATCAAAACAATCATTTTGATAGCATACATAAGTGGCAAAAGCAGAATCTAAATACCAATCACAATTTGCATCCATATTTTTTAAGATTGCAAAGACATCACTTTCACCACCTTCGCCAACAAAAACATACTCACCTTTGTTCTAATTACTTTTATCACTTTTATCATCTTTTGTAGGACAATTTCTTTTAATATGTCCATACCTTTTGCATTGAAAGCACTAAACATTATTAGATTTAGACTTGCCACCCTTAGATCCCATGCCGATTGACTTCTTCCTACGAACCTCAATTACCAATGCCAAGCTATTTGAATCTTTACTCCCTTCCTTATGTTTCTTTCAGGCTTCACGAGACATTAACGTTGCTTATACTTGTTCTAACGTTATTGTATCCATCTCACATATCAAAAATTCCACAAATATCTCATAGGAGTCTGGGAGCGAAGTAAGGAACAATAGTGCCTTTTCCTTTTCCTCCACCTTCACATCAACCTTCTTCAACTGATTCATGATCGCTTTGAATTTGTTTATATGCTTTATGAGGTTTCCATTCCCCTTTATCTTTAAGTGAGACAATGTTTGCCTAAGCTGTAACTTGTTACAAAGATTTTTTACCAAGTAAATCTTTTCCAACTTTGCCCACAATATTGGAGCAAAATCTTCATCAATAACATGGTTAAACACATTATCTCCATATCAAGTCGAACAGTGCTCCCACATCTTTGCTCCAACTACCCATTCAACATTTTTCATGTCATTTAGTTGCTTTTTCTCTTTTCCTAGCAAAGGGAGCATCAAACCTTGCTACACAAAGAGATCTTTCATCTTTTTTGTCATTACGTGAAACTAGTTTTTCCATCAAACTTCTCAATTGAAAAATTCATAAAATTAGTAACTTTTGACATCCTTGTTGAATCTTGAATTTACAGAATCCAAAGCTGTGATACTAGTTTGTTATGAAAATTACCCCAAAAACAATAAAGATTAAACCCAATGAAATTAAACAATTAGAAAAACACAAGAATTTACGTGGTTCGACCACTTACCTACATTTATAGAGTGAAACTGTTCTTTTATTTATGAGAAATTAAAATATAATAAATTGACCTCTATGATTCTTTAAACTAACCCAAGGTCTTTGTACACCTTTGCTTAATAACTTCCCAAGAACACTCACTTAAATCACTCTAGCTCTAATTAGAACAAAAGACAAAATTATAAGATGTCCCTTCTCTAGAGCTCTCAAAGCACTACTTGCAATTTCAAAGTTGAGAGATTTACTTTTATAAAATAAAAGTCTAAAGTAGAATGTGACTAAGATTTAATGTGAAATAAGAAGTTTAAAACTATACAATTATTTAATATTGTGTACAAATAAAAATCTTAATTAAAGAAAATCTAAAATTTAATCAATCTAAAACTCAATAGAAGCACATTAATATCAAGTCATGACATTGTTTTAATATATCGGGAAAGATGCATTCGTGCACACTTAAACAAATAGAGCAGCAGAAAACAAAATTATTAAGGATGCTTTACTTTTTACTATTTTAACTTTCCAAGTCATATTATTCTATCACGAATGTACACATATTTTCATAAAAGCAAAGGCATTAACGGATGGTAAGATCAAAATAGAAATTTTACGAATTTGACAATTTTTAATTAGCCTGTAACTTTCATTACACTATTTTTTCATGTTCTTTTCCTTTTTTCCTTTACCTACTATGTGTATTAAGGGTATCAAGGTTTTTTTGGATCAAATCTTATCCCGATAAAATGTTCAAATAATGAGAGAGAAAGCTGTTATAAGTTGGTGAAGCACATCAATAGTTATCTCTGGCATAACTCCATGGGGTTGGGAAGCCCATGATCGTGAGAACCTAATTTAATTTAGAGGATGTTTCCCATTTCTCAATGGCAGTAATGCATACTCGGTGCCATACCCTTTTCACTGGTTTTGCTTACTTTTGATAACAAAAGAGGAAATGCAATCTTTTGAAGAAAATTAACTCACTCTATATATCTTGAGAAGAAAGAAAGGTCTGCAAATCTCCTATCGGATATTTGCACTTCCACTTCTCCAAATCCAAGGCAAAACAATAAATTGTGAAAATTGATTGCCACCAACCGCTGGAAATTAACTTCATGAGGAGGAAACAGAGAGATGGGGAGCCGATTCATCAGATGCACAAGGCAGAGATCGGAGAATATGGCGAAGAAACAACAGGTTATGGTTTCTGCAGCATGGGGTGTCAATGCCAGCTTCCAATCGCTTTCTGCCCTTCTCATTGCCATTGTAGTCGTTGACGCTATCTATCTGAGACAAAGAAATGAACAACTTTTCGAGTACGAGATATACATGAAAGTTTTGGTGGCAGCTTGACGTCAAGGTGCAATTTATTTTCAGGGAAATGGGTATATGATAATGAATCTTACCCTCTATACAAAGAGAGAGAATGCACATTTATGTCTAATCAGTTAGCTTGTGAGAAGTTCGGGAGAAAGGACCTTAACTATCAGTTCCGGAGATGGCAACCTCACCGGTGTGACCACCCGAGGTTTCTTTCATTCTCTTTTGTTAATTTTCTATTCCATATCATATAAAAACAGGGATGATGATGGTTTTAAGATTGCATTTGGCAATGTTTTTGAGTTTTGTGGAATGTTTCCTTGTTTTATGTTAATAAGGCTACATGTTACAGCATTGCTAGGGCCTCTTAGGAATAAGAGGCTTGTTTTCATCGGGGAATTGCTCAACAGAAACCAATGGGTTTTCATGGTCTGTCTGGTGGATTCAGCCATCCCTCCAGCCTTCATGCATAACAATGGCTTAACAAACATTTTCAAGGCCGTTGTGAGTACTCTCTAATATTTCAAAAAGATTTTGCAGTTGAATATACCAACAAAGTGTTTCTTTTTCTTTTTTAATCTCATTGGCTGTGTCATTTTTGCTACAGTGGCTACAATTTTACTAATTCATGTTATTAAAGAATATAATGCAACAATCGAATTCTACTGGTCTCCATTGCTGGTGGAATCCAACTCGAAAAATCCAGTGAACCATCGGGTACCAGATCGAATTGTCAGAGTCTAGGCGATTGAAAAGCATGCTAGGCATTGGACAGATGCAGATATTCTCATTTTCAATACCTATCCTTGCTGAAGAAGACGCCAAATGAGGGTCTTGTAAGTACATTTTCCAACTTATAATTAATCAAAACCAAAAGATTAATTCGATGTGGGTCTGATATTATTAGGTGGGGATTTTTCAGCCATGAAGATGGGATTTATAAAGCAGTCATGTCACCAAGAGTGTACGAGATGTCCATGTCAGTGGTTGGAGGTTCACCTCAATAGTAACACGTAGCATGTCACCAACCTGTTATTTCTTCGCCAGTTTATAGTACTATAAACTATATCTCCATAGTACTATAAACTTTCCTATGTACAAATCTTCTCGAATTTCCTAAAAAAAAGTTAATTCTTTGTAAGAAAAGATTTTTTTTTGAAAGTAATTTCTTTGATCAAAATTAAGAGTCACGTACTAATTCATTGATTAGTGTACTATCTTTTTATTTAAAAAGTAAAAAAAAAAATAAAGACAGGGAGCCCATGTAAAAACAGAATCTGGCTTAAGGTAAGGCCAGGAAACAAAACTGGCTGCAAAAAAATGCCAGTGAAAACGTGACCTGATGCTTCATGATTGTCTGCCATTTCACTCGAGGGCTATCGAGATCCTGGACCCTGAACTGGCATCGTTAACAAAACATCCTAGGAATAGATGCGAAGGAGATCACCCACTCCTTCAACCCCATCTTTCGCAAGGTTGTCTGCCATTTCGTTGTCAGATCTCATAATGTGTCTCTCTTGCCACCCCGGTAACTTTGATCTCAAAGCCTTGATCTGCAACACAATGTTCCTCAACCTCCATGGAGCAACAGCAGGATCAGCTACCCCTTGACCTCATTCATGGAGTCGCTTTCAATGATGACGCCATAATTCGATGCCTAGGAAGAAGCTGCATACTAGCATCATGGCCTCTCGGATGGCCAACACTTCAGCTAGATTAGCATTGCCCCACTCTGTTGACTTGGAGAAGATCATCTCGACTGCCCCAGAATTATCTACAAATAACTTTGATGTATCACTTCCTATATCATTATCTGAGCTCTTTATCATCTACATTGAGATGACACCACTCATTCATTAAAATGTTAAAAATTTTTATTTGGTATATTAGTTATTCTAGAGCTTTGTACCGTTAATAATATTAATAAACTCATTAATTTTTTTTATAATTTTACAAAAAATAGTCAAAAACTCCAAATCAAAGTAAATTTATAAAAAAATAATTTATATATTAATATTTAAATATTACATAAAAAGATAAAAAAAAATTTTATAATTTAAGATTTTATAAAAAAAAATCAAAATCTAAACTACTCCTTTTTTTAAAAACTTACCTTGTATAATTTTTTTTATTATTATTTTAATTATAACACCACTCTGAAAATTTTTTTGAATCCACTTGAATTGTGTGCGAATGTGCACACGAATCTCGATATTGACAATTGGATCCATGTTTGCAGAAATTTGTTCGAAAATGGAATGGATGGTAAAGATGCTCCAAGTGTGTGTGCAAAGGCACAGCTAAGTTCGTTGTAGTTTGGCATTGTGCACCCTTTTCTGGAGCAAAAGATGTGAGATAACCTTTCAATTTATGTGACTTTTCAATAATCACAAAACATAACATTTTATTGGTAACTTTTCATATGAAGAGATAAGGTTTTGAAAATACACCAATAATTACAAATTTGGTTGAATGTTTATCTTTCTTTGGATAATGAAGTTTGGTAAGAGATAAGTTTATGAAAATACACCAATAATTGCAAGTTTGATTGAAAGTTGATCTTTCTTTGGATAATTAAGTTTGGTTAAATGCCCATATTAAGAGTAGCAGTCCATTTTCTAATCAGCTTTCCACGACTTGACAGAACCCTGAAATAATTCCATAGACCTTTTGTTACTGACTTTATAGTCTTTCTTGCTATGCTCAAGATTTTACATGTTAAAGGGACACATCACTTTGTTAAAATGAATTCTTAATTTCTTGCAATTACATCATAGAAAGCTGATTTTCCACGGGGACCATGGGAACGACTTGACCTGATTGGTCTACTGAATGGCATGATAGGACGAATCCATATTTTATTATGGCAAATCATATCTAAATGCTATCCAAAAAGATGCATTCGGGCATTCCTTACACTGAAACAAGCAGAGCTACCGGAAACAAAATTAGTCAAGTTGTTTGACTCTTGCACTGCAGCTTTATTGGATGAATTAACGACAAAAGAAGTTAGATTAGGATCCTAAGTACCAATTTATGTTGTGCTGTGACTCAACTTTTCCTTAGTAAAGATGCTTTCCTGCATTTGCTTTTCTTCTCATTGATGCAAGCAGAACAAAGTAATAAAATCACTCCACGAGAATTACACTACCACTCCAACATCAAGTTGACGAAAAATCTACATTATGAAATGCTACTAAGAAGTTTTAAACAAAAGTTTCATCTTCTGATTCAAGGCAATTTCAATACAATTTATTTCGAATTTGACCGAGGCAAAACAATTATGGTGCGTGGTCCAATCGAAGTGCTTGGAGTCAACAATCATTTTTATTATTTGGTAAACCTCCAACCAAGATAGGAACATGTGAAATTGAATTATGATCAAGTTGGCTTGTTAAATTATCCACATCAAAAGTATCATTGACTTTGGTTTTTTTATTATTTTTCTTTCACTGATTGCCAGCTAATCTTAATTTAATCTTTTGATAATTATGTTTTGTAAAGAGGGGAAACGGGCTATTTTGCTTTTTGAAAGTGAGGAAAATGGTTTTTAAAAGTGAGGAAAATGTTGAAAATTCCACTCACAATGTGAACTATAAGGTTGACGAAATCACAAGACTCTGGTCCTTGAATTCTTGTTCATCACTGCCAAATTTTGGGTCATTACTAACCCGGAACATAGATTTTGTCCAAACTCAATCCTTCAATGTTTAAGACTTAAATCCAAATTTGCTTCCAGGAAAGAACAAAGGTAGATAATAATGCTTTATTAGAATATTTTTTGTAAATATTCAAAACTTTAAAACCAGAACTTCCTTTTAAAGGATAGAACTTTAAATTTTTTGAAAGAATCGATATCATTATATAATTGTAATTACATAGTACAAACTTTTGATTTGTAACAATTAATTATATGTTTAATTCTAATTATTTATAAGTACGATTCTATATATATATATATATATATATATATTGAAAAGCTTGTGGATTGTCATTCAAAACCGCAGCCATTGTGCCATTTAAAGTCTCTAGTCAAGAGGAGCAGGAGACTTCTGATGGCATCTGGAACTGGCTAACCGGTAGCGCACTGGAACTGGCTTCTCATCGATGCAAGCAGAACCAAGTAATAAAATCACTCCAGTAGAGTCACTCTACAACTCCAATACTTTCCCTTCTGAATCTATCAGCCATTCTTCCTATATTAAGTTGAGGGAATATATATTATGATTACTACTAAGAACTTTTAAGCAAAAGTTTCCTTTCTGATTCTAGTAATTTGAATCAATTTACCTCAGATTTAACGTAAGGAAAACAATGTCAATGTTTCACAGAGGGGAGCTTGAGTTCTGGTGCCTGGCCAATCTAAGCGGTTGAGTCAGTAATCATCTTTATTATTTCGTAACTTTCAATCTAGATAGGAACGTGTGAAATTGATTATGATTAGGCATGTGTTAAATAAATTTTTTGCTTCTACCACAAGTATCATTCTGGGTAAATTGTCTGATCAGCTAGGGAAGTGAAAGCATTTTTTATTTGCCTAAAACTGAAAGAATGGTAGCTTAGTTTCAAGCACAACGTGAATAGAACCCTCCTTTTCATTTTTTGCTTTTGGGATATAATTTAATTTGTTTTTACTCAAAGAGCTAGGATAACCTGTTACAGGACTGAAAAAAAAAGGTTGGAAAGAAAGCCAAAAATCTTTTCACTTATTCCTTGCTCCTTTTCATTGTTGCTGGAGCCTCCTTCCCTGACTCCGATCAGCTGTCCTTCCATGATTTCTGTTTTTGAGAACCAGCCGAGGGAAAAGCCTAAAAAGAGCACGATCAATGTGCTTTAATAACCATATCCTCCATCTCTTCCAAAAGATGAGAATGCAATGACAATTCCTAAACCAAAGAAAAACCCTGTCTCAACATTCAAACAGATTCCAATCGATATGGCTCCCAGTCCCAGAATCTGAAGGGCTATCTTTAAAAGTTGGTGAGGATTGACATTTTACCTCTAAAGGAGGCCCACATAATCCCCCATTGTTTTCAAATGAAGCATTTGAATCAGGCATCGAGGAATTGGTCCATTCAAGGAATTATTTGACAGATCAAGTACTTGAGGAATTGTGGTGCTCATGGTGCGATGATTGGAATATCTCTACCTACATGCCAAATACTGCTATCACGTTTTTTAAGACATGAAACTCTCTACACGTAAGTATTTTTAAAACGAAAGTGTGGAGAATGTCATTTTTTATCATCACTTGGTCCATTTGGCTTTATAGAAATGAAATGATCTTTGATGGAAAACCTTGGGATCTTGCAAATGCGATGGAAATCATCAAATTGAGGTTGGCATGTTGGGTCAAATCCAAATGGCCTGATACTAATGCATCCATCACTGACATTGTTAATGACCCATCCTTTGCTGTGGCCCCCATTTCAAGGAAGGGAAATAAACCTAAGGTTCAATGGGAGTGTCCTCCTGAAGGTTGGTTCAAGTTCAACATAGACGGAGCAGCTAGAGGTTGTCCAGAGCCTCTTGGAATTGGAGGAATTCTACGGGATGATAATGACACTGTTAAGCTTGTTTTTTCCAAGAAAGCTGGAGGGGTGATGCTACCTAGCTGAAGTTCTGACAGTCAGAGAGGCTGTGATTCTATTTGCAGCCTCTTCTGGGCGAATTCTAAAGCATCATCATCGATTTGACTCCAAAAACATTGGTGTTTTGGGTATCCGAACCTAGTACAACCCATGGCGACTGCGACAACTTATTCTTCAAATTTGCTCAATCAAAAACAGAGTGGCTAGTGGCTAGCAGATTAGGCACATCTCAAGGTCATATAATGAGGCTGCAGACAACTTTGCTAAATCAGGGTTGATGAATATTATCTTCTAAGTCTTTATCCTTAACTGTTTGGATAGTGCTTCTCTTTGTCTACTACTTTTTGTTGCTGGGTTTAATGCATGCCTCTATGACAGAGCGCTTTCTTGGGCTACTATGCTCTGAAAAAGTCTACGACCTGCAGGAGGATGAAAGACTCACAGTGGTTATGTTCCCCTCTCTTACTATTCCCTCTACCTCTTTTTGCTTTAGGCCTGGTTGTGGCTTTTTGCCTGTTTTTTTGCTGTTAAATCTCTTGTACAGGACTTAGTTTTTGTTGGCCAATTTTTATACGTTAGCTCTAAAGAAGGATCCTGGTCTGATTTTGCTAGGTTCCCTCTTCTTTTGTGTAAATGGGTTCCCCTTTGATATAAATACACCACATATTTAATCTTTAAAAAAAGTACTTGAAGTATAAATGTTGCATATTGATGTGGGGATACTTCCGTAAAAGTTACCTAAGGGAGAAAAAAAGAAGCAAATTGGGGTAGTCACCAATCTCAGGTGGTAAAACATAGCTAAAATTGTTGTTTGAGCAATCCAGATAGATGGCATATGGTGGAAAATTTGGGATTTGCCCTTATAGCTGGTTGCCATGAAAGTCAACAACACTCAAACACGAAGGTATGTGCAAAGGTCTTTCAAGTTCTACAAGAAAGTTCAGAGAAAGATTCAATTGATAAAGATCTTTGCTTTGCCAAATCCAATTGGGTATTTCCCCATGAATCTGGTTGTTTGAAAGGTCTAGGTGGGCTAACATGGATTGGTTTTACAAGAAATCAGGGAATTTTGTTATTTTGCAAGAAGCCAACTCCAATATGGTGTGTTGGAGAAGGAAGGCAGCAAAGCACTTGAGTCAACAGAGAAGTTGTTACATGAAAGATCAAGAATTTCAAGATTCCGCAGTTTCTGAAAGGCAGTCAAAGGTATCAAGCCATTGAAGTTGTTCCAAGAAAGTGATAGGATCGTGAGACTTTCGATTTCAAATACTAACATAGGAAATGGCCCTTGCCCCTTGAAACTTACTGCGACTTAGATCAATGGTGTAAAGTACTGAAGAAATCCGTCGTTGACCTGACTAAATCCAGCAGTGAATGATGTTTTGAAAGTGGATTTCCTTCAAAGATGGATTCCGAAACAAGTTGTGGAGACAGTTGCAATGAAGAGTTGTTATGTAAGTCAAGTCTTACAAGAATCACTAGGCTTGACCAGTTAGTGGAAAGAATAGAGCCAGTTAACTGATTGTGAGCGAGGTTTAGTTCTGTAAGGTTTCTTAGTGAGGTGAATGACGGAATTGGACCAGAGAAATTATTCCAAGAAAAATCCAAATATATCAGTTGTCTAAGTTTCTCATTGTTTCAGGTATTGGCCAATTGAAGTTGCATTACTCAATCTATTCTTGTCATTGTCCAATGTTAACAATAGATTCTGGTAATTCCTGGCCCCAAAATATTGTGTCGCTAAGCAGCAGTGTTTATAGAGAAGCATCCAGAGGAGACTTTTGGAAAGAACCTTCAAGTAAGAAGTTGTATGACAAGTCAAGAGTCGGTAATGTGGGTACCTGGAGGATTTCTTCTGGTAGTCTTCCACTCAAGCCAGTGGCACTAAGATGCAAGGAAGTAAAATTCTGGAATTCTGCCAAGAACTTCGGAAATGGAGCGGACAAATTGTTTTGGTCCAAACTAATTTTGAGAGAGACTTAAACTTGGCAAGGGAAGGATCAATAGGTCCTGAAAGAGAACAGCAGGACATGCTCAACAATTGCAGATTAGGCAGAAAAGATGTAAAGCCTGGCTCCACTCATTTCCATTGGCTGGTATATTTACGCCATCAAGATAGAGATTTTTCAGCCTTGAGAGGTTTTGAACAAGCATCACTAGATTCGGCTTCTGAAGTTCCAATAATGCTGGAACAATCCATTCTGTAGATAAATCAAGAGTAACCAACCTTGTCATTGGTGAAATCGCCACAGGTATTTGACCTTTGAAGCCAGCATTTGACAAATTGAGGTAACTCAAATTTGCAAGCTTATCAAGCCTGGAAGGAATACTGGAGCTGAATCTGTTATATGACAAATTTACGCTCCGGAATTGTGAAGACTGAAGACGCTGCTTGAATTGTAATCACACCGGAAATTGATTGGTTGCTCAAGTTTAGGTCGATAACCCGACCTCCTGAATCGCAGCTTACACCATCCCAGGAACAGCAATCCGTGCTTTGATTCCACTTCACCAACTTCATTGATAAAGTTGGATTGAGGCTATTTTTCAATGCGGGCAGCAATTCCTTCTGATCACTTTGACAATATTGGCCAGAAACCGAAACTGCGTTAATGCTAAAGAAAATTGCCAGAAATGAAATGAAGAAGAGCCATGAAACGAGTGAAATCCTCATTTATGAGCCAAACTGGAGTCACAGATTGCTACGCGACCGGAGTATGCTGCCGTGTTGTTGGTAACAGTATACCAAAATCCGTCGATGAGAAAGCCACAGAGTACGAAGAATACGGTAAGTCTGTTATGGAAGAAAATCCAGTTACAAACAACTCCTCCAATTTCTGGCCCAACATATCCAGCTTTGGTTACTAGCAGAACCAAGTAATAAATCATTCCGCGAGAATTACTCCAGCACTCCAATCGGATCCTTACGAAATCTATCAATCCTTCCTTTATCAAGTTGACAAAAAATCTTTCCTATGAATTACTACTAAAATAGTTTAATCAAAAGTTTCGTCTTCAGATTTTGGGTGCTTCGAATACAACTTACTTTGGATTTGATTTAAGCCAAAACCATGTCAATTTTTCACGGAAGAGGGAGCTGAGGTTCTGCTGCATGGTCAATCTAAGCGGTTGGAGTCTGTAATCATTTTTACTATTTGGTAAACTTCCAATAAAGATAGGAACAACATATAAATTTTGGAATATTTTTCAAAAAAATCTATAAATTATTTTTAAAAAATTTAAATAAGTTTTTATACTTTAATTAAGTTTAACCAAATTTTTATATTTTTATTTTAAACCAAATTTATCTTTATATTTTTATTTTGAATCAAATAAATTTTTATGATTAATTATTGACTTAATTAAAATATCATTTATAATTTTATATTACATAGAATTGGCATGACATATTAACATATTATAATTGATGATGATGTAATATGTTAATTTAATATAATAACATGACCATATAACATTTTTTACTCTCTACATTAACATCATGTAATTGCCATATAGATATAAAATGATAAATGATATTTTAACTAATTATAATTAATTAATCATTAATCATAAAGATTTATTTGACTTAAAATAAAAATATAAAAACTTAATTAAAAACAATAAAAGAGTAAATATTTATTTAAATTTTTTAAAATAATTTAAAAGCTTATTTAAGCATTATGCCATAAACTTTTTGCTTCTATGACAAATATCATTCTACATAAATATCCTAATGAGCCTTCTGATATTAATGTTATCATGCAAGGATGATCATTAAGATAAATTAAAGGATTTTTTTTTTGCTTAAAACTGAAAGAATGTTAGCCTAGTTTCAAACCCAATGTGAAGAGGACGCTACATTTCATTTTTGTATTTTTGGGATGATTTAATTTGTTTTTATTCAAAGCAATCAGGATAAACCTGTTGAAAGGAACAAAAACAAAAGGTGGAAAGAGAAGCAGCAAAAACTGCTTACCATTGAAACAAAAACCAAAAACAGGAAAATAGAACATAGGAACTAGCTAAAAATCTTTTCATTGATTCCCTGCTTTGCTAGAGCCTCCTCCCCTGACTCCGGTGAGCTCTCCTTCCATGATTTCTGTTTTTGAGAACCAGCCGAGGGAAAAGCCTGAGAAGAGCACGATCTATGTGCTTATAATACCATATTCTCCATCTCTTCCAGAAGATAAGAGGTGCAATGACAATTCCTAACCCAAAGAAAAATCCTACCTCAGCACTTATAATGTCCCAGTCGATTTGACACCCAGAATCAGAATCAGATTGTGAATCTTGGCCATTGCTGGCGTCTTTGCAACTCTTCGTCAAAGGATACCCACATAGTCCTTTATTCCCTTCGTAGGACTCATTTCCGAATGTTGCAAATTGCTTTGCAGCTGGGATACTTCCCTCCAGTTGGTTGTGTGAGACATCAAGGACTGCAAGGAAATTTAGGTCTACCAGCTGTTGAGGAATACTGCCACTCAGGTTATTTCTTGAGAGGTCCAAGGATTCCAGCTGATGCAACTTTCCAAGAGATGGTGGGATTGCGCCTGTGAGAGCATTGTGCGACAAGTTGAGAACATAGAGCGCTTTGAATTCTCCCATCTCATCTGGTATTGGCCCTTCAAATTTGTTGCATGAAAAGTCAATGGAGTTGAAAGCAGTTGGGATCTTTTCCAGCTTCATATTTAGACCTTTGTTGGTAACTGTTACGCCGTCCAGATAATAAAGTACACTGAGTTGTAGAACCTCAAATTGAATGTGTTTAACACTTAATTGGGCTCCATAGTCATCAACCATCATTGCCTTCCATGTTGTGAACAATTGCTTCGGTAGTCTTCCACTAAAACTATTGTGAGCAATGTCAACGATTTGAAGCTTCGGCCAGGGGGCCTTACTTCCTAGACAACCAATTTTCCCATAAAATTCATTTGATCGCAAAACCAGAACCCGCAAAGTGGATATACTCTGCAAATGGCAAGGAAAGGAATCATTGATCTGATTGTTACCAAGGTCTAACACCTCCAGCTTTTCGCACCTAGAAAGGGATATTGGAATCTTCCCTTTAAGCTCATTGCCATTGACATCTAGTGTTTGTATGGAACAATGTCTTGGAAATGCATCAGGAATATTGCCATTGAGACTGTTGCCCCCAAGATTCAGTACCCCTAGAGATGCTTCCCTTGCAATTAAACAATTTGGTATTCTACCATTCAGATTGTTGTTGGACAAGTCAAGAACTTGTAGGTAAACAGCATCACATATTGAATCAGGAATGAAACCTGTAAGGCCATTGCTTGAGAGATAAAAGAAAATAGTGTATGACAGGTTGCTGCCAATGTTAGGTGGTAAAGATGAAGTAAAATTATTTCTTGAATAATCCAGATAGATTGCAGATGCAGGCGGAGTTGGGATATTGCCACTGAGATTGTTAGAATGCAGGTCAAGGAGATAGAGAGGAGGCATTTGATAAGGTTTTTGCAAACCCACTAGCAGATTAAATGAAAGGTTCAGATGCCGGAGAAAGCCATCGCCAACATTCCAAATCCAATTTGGTACTTCACCTGAAATTTGGTTGTCTGAAAGATCCAGATAGGTTAGTCTTGATTGGTTCTTTAGATCAGGAAACACTTTCAGTCTGCAAGAAGCCAGTGCTAATCTACTAATTTTGGGGAAGGACGACAAGGTAGAATAGCTGCCAGTTGCATTGACAGACAGGTTGTTATGTGAAAGGTCAAGATGTAAGAGGTTGACAAGCTTCTGAATGTCTCCCAGCCATATAGTGCCATTAAACTTGTTGGAAGAAAGCAACAGGATGTGAAGTCCACTGAGTTCAAAAACAGACATGGGTATAGGCCCTAGCAGTTGATTGCTACTGAGATCAAGAGTATCCAATAAAGATTGTCGCACATTTGGAAAGCTAGGAACTTCACCGTCAAATTGATTGTTGGAAAGCATGACCTTCTTCAGCAACGGGAGTGCCAAAAGAGAGGAGGGAATATTCCCATGAAGTGAATTGTGACTTAAATCAATATAAGTAAGATTTTGAAGGCTTCCCCAGTTGTATGATTGGATCTGAGCAGTCAGTTTATTGTGAGAGAGGTCTATATTGGCAAGATTTTTGGACATAGTCAATGGTGGAATATGGCCAGTGAAGTTATTGAATGACAAGTCCAAATAAACAAGCTGTTGGAGATTTGGGATCGAATGCAGAATTGCTCCACTGAAATTGCAGAAGGAAAGGTCTAATCTTGTCAAGCTCACAAGATTGCCTATGGACAGTGGTAATGATCCAGAAAACTTTGTTTTGCTAAGCACTAGGATCCGAAGAGAACCATTATGAGGGAATTCTGGCAAGAAACCCTGAAGGTTTTCATTTTCGGATATGTCAAGAGACTGTAGCGTTCTTACCTGGAGTATCTCTTTTGGAAATAGTCCATGCAAGCCGCACGAACTGAGCCCCAAGGAAGTCAAATTTGAAAGCTTAGCAAGGAATGTTGGAACCATAGCAGACAAATTGTTCTTGTCCAAATGAATAACAGAGAGATTCTTCAAGTTTTGAAGCTGAGGTTCAATTGGTCCAGAAAGATAACAGTTAGAAATGCTCAACACCTGCAATTTACTTAATGAAGCAGATATGGCCTGGCACCACTCTTTTCCCTGCGCTGATATGTTCACGCCATCAAGGTACAGTTCTTCTAGCATAGTGAGACTTTGGACGAGCATTCGTAGATTTGGGCTTTCAAGCTTCAGTGAAACTTGTCCAAGGAAGTTTAGCGTAGATAAATCAAGAGTAACCAACCTTGTCATTCGTGAAATCGCCAGAGGTATTTGACCTTTGAAGCCAGCATTTGACAAATTTAGGTAACTCAAATTTGCAAGCTCATCAAACGTAGAAGGAATAGTGGAGTTGAATCTGTTAAATGCCAAATTTAGACTCTGGAGATACTGAAGACTGAAGAGGCTGCTTGAATTGTCAATCACACCGGAGATTGATTGGTTGCTCAAGTTTAGCTCGATAACACGACCACCTACATCGCAGCTTACACCATCCCAAGAACAGCAATCCGTGCTTTGATTCCACCTCACCAGCTTCACGGATAAAGTAGAATTGAGGTCGTTTTTCAATCCGAGCAGCAACTCTTGCTGATCGCTTTGACATTGGCCAGAAACCGAAACTGCGTTAATGCTAAAGAAAATTGCTACAAATGAAATGAAGAAGAGCCATGAAACGAGTGAAATCCACATTTTGTGAGGGGGATGAAACACACGGGCCCTGCTGGAGAGTTACAGATTGCTGAACTATCAAGTTGGACGTACCGGATGTTCACAATAAAAAGGGAGCAAGAAAGCTGCATGGTAGAAGAGAATGCTGCCGTGCAGACGGAAACGGTAGACCAAAGAAAGTCGAAGGGAAAGCTGCAGTCTCTTACCAAGGAAAATCCTCGGTTGTTGTCGTGTAGAGCGTAATGGACGCAGCACGACCTGCACAGTCGCATTGCAGGAAGACTCAACCAGTCGATGGACATTGGAGAAGAAAATTGCAAACTTGTCAAGTTGACGCCCGTATCAAAAGCACCATTGACTTAATTAAATTATCTATATATCAAAAGTATCATTATTTATTAATTAATAGTTACTCTTTGTTATTAAGGTAAATATTTATTTAATTGACTGCTATTAACTTTATTAATTTTAAGTTAATAATTTAAATCTCACTAATTTTAAAAAACTATCAAACTTTTAATTTTGTTTTGCTGTAGGTTTCCAATTGTCTTGTGAGCTTGGAAATTCTGATATAATCAGTCAAGTGACAAGTCTTCGATATGAATGTTCACAGCAATTGCTTCCTTCTTCTCCTTTCTTTCTATGCTCATTAATGCTAGAAATTATTAGTGGTAGCTGGGGAGTCCGTATCAAACGTACTATTGGTTTTGGTTAAATTATCAATGTCAGAGGTGTCATGACTTTGGTTTTTCTTCACTATTTTTTTTTTTAAAAAAATTGATTCTTACTATCAAAAAATAAAAATTATAAATAAATCATTAAGTTAAATACTTCATTAAATATTATCAACTTTGCTTAATTTAAGTTAGACATTCAAATTTAAGAAATGCTTTTGATTGCCTTGTATTAAAATGTTTAGCATGCTTTATTTAGATGCAACAAAATTAGTGATTATATATATCAAGTGCAATATCCGTAAAATTCATATATATATATATATATATATATAATTCTTACTTTTTAAAAATAAATACTGTTTGTATTCTTAGTTATTTTTATTCAGAGTATAACATTTTTTTAACAACGAGAATATAAAATATTATACTAAAGAAATTATTTTTATTAATTCATTTGGGCCAGTTACAAAACAACTGGTCTAATTTCCGGCCCAATTAATCCATCATTCTTGAAATTGGATCTGGGTCAGTCAAATCAGGCCCTAGGGTTTATATATAACTGTGTAAAAGGGCGGACTCTCCCTCGCCGCCCCTTTGTCAGCCAGTGTTTCTCCAGCAACTAAAGGAAAAGGAGACTGCTTTTCGTCATTCCATCACCATGAGAGCCAAGGTAATTTCTAAAGGAAAAAGCATCAAGCTGAATGTTTTACGTCAATATGAGTTTTTGGTTGGTTTTTAATTTGTCATTTATTGGATGATTTTTGTTTTTCTAAACAGTGGAAGAAGAAGCGTATGAGAAGATTGAAGAGAAAGCGCAGAAAGATGAGGCAGAGATCCAAGTAGACAGGAGCAATCTCTCCCGTTCTACGGGGTTTCAGTGTCAGTGCAGTTTTAGGGTCTAGTCATCCTGTCATTTTTATTTCAGTTTCGAAGCTCTTTTTCGTTCTTTCTTTCTTTGTATCTGGGTCTTTCAAGTTGGCGTTAATCTGGCAGTGAGTGTTTCAGTTTTTTCAATTGTTGAGAACAGTTTGATCGATTCAATGAAATGGGTATTTGTTATTATTGTTGTTTTATTATGATGATTTATTTTGATTGGGAATGTTGATGCGTGGCAAATGCATGGAAATGGCTCCATGAAGCATTTCTCTGCCTGCCTCTGCTTTCTCATTTTTGCGGGTAACTGGACAGGAATATAATGATGAATACGGAACTTGAATTCAGATTGTGAGCCAGAGTTTGAATTATGTTTTGTTCTGATCAATTCATTTTCATTGGGAGTGTTGATAAATTGCAAATGCAAGGAGAATGTTTATGAATTCCAAATGCGTTTATGTGGCTCCGTGGGTCATTTCACTCTGCCTCTGCTCTCCTCATTCTTGCGGGTAAACTGGAGTGGAATGTGGAATCAATTCAGGTTCTTATCAGATGATATGAGAATTAAGGAAACATCAAATTCTTTGCTGTTGGCAGTGGATTATGAATAAGGACATCGATTCAGATTGTGAAACAGAGTTCGAATATTTTTTGTTTTGTTCTGATTAATCCATTTTGATTTGGAAAGTTGATGAATTGCAAATGCGCAGAAATGGCTCCATGGAGCATATCTTTGCTTGCCTCTGCTCTCTCATTCTTACAAGTAACTAGACAGGAATGTTTAGTAGATTCAGATTCTTATCAGATGATATGAGAATTAAGGAACATCAAATTCTATGCTGTTGCCTGTGACTCTATGAATAAGGATCGATTATTTTTGTTTTGTCCTGATTAATTCATTTTGATTGGGAACGTTGATGCATGCCAAATGCATTGAAATGGCTCCATGGAGCATTTCGCTGTCTACCTCTGCGCGCTCATTCTTGCGGGCAACCAGACAGGAAATGTAATCATGAATAAGGACTAAAATTCAGATTGTAAGCAGAGTTCGACATTCACATTCATCAAAAACACTTCATTACCTTGCATCTCGGGGCTTTGATTGATTTATTCTTGATCTCATTTCTTGTTTTTGCCAAGAAAAAAGATTCCTGCTTTTTAATAATATCCGAATCCTGTCAGGACAGCTACTCCAGGAAGAAGAAAAATCAGAATATCAGGTCTAGTTCTTCTGTTCTTGGGGATATGTATATATTTGTGAAATCCCACCAGGTTCCCTTTTTACAAGCCACAGCCAGACAAGTTTTAATCAGTCCAGGGGAGTAAGATTCAATTAACTAGTAATTACAATTGCCTGATTACAAAGTCAAGATCTTACAGTTGGAAATTTACCCAAGGGGTAAATTTTAATGCACTGGAGACAAAGGAGACTGCCTTCCAGGTTTATTTATATGTTCAACAATTAATTATCCAAAGAGCAAAAATTTGAAAACTTTTTAAAAAGAATAAGTAAATATCTTAATCTAATTATAAAGAAACCAATAAATATGTAAAGTACAATGGTAAATTTAGATGTTGCAACTAACAAAAGAAAAAATCCATTTCCCGGTAACCAAACCCAGTCGCGAGGGAAGCCAGCGGTCAAATCATATAATAAGGGAACCTTATAAGTAGACTATTCTTCCTCGTAACTAGCACTGGAAGCTTGCAAGAGGGCCTTTCTCTTGAATATAAGCAAACAGTTAATCGCATAGAATTGCTGGAAAAAAGCCGATCAACAATGGAAATGGACATCGACGGCGCCTGTAAACCCGAAGGTACCTACTTTTTTCCCGTCCTATCATTTGTTCTGAGATTGCATCATCAGACAAATTACTGAACTTTATTTTCTGCTTCTATGGTTTTTTTTTTTGGTTCAAAAAGGGAAAGAAGGTGAAGAAGAGAAGGAAAAGGGGAAGCCAATCGTGGCAATGTTGGTGGGCGCACCAGGAAGCGGCAAGTCCACTTTTTGCGACAACGTCATGCGAGCTTCTTCACGTCCCTGGGTTCGCATCTGCCAGGTTTCTCTCTTTCTCTGCTTAATTTTCCATCGTTTCTGGAAGTGGGGTGTTGTAAAATTATGATTTTGAGATGATGTTATGGTTCCTTTCTCATTTACAATTGTAAATGTGATGTCTTGAATCTTTAAACTTGAAATTATGAGGATAATGAACTAGTGCTGCTAGCAAAGTGGGCTGTGCTAAATGTTATTAAGATTCTATTGGCTTCTTCTTGCAGGATACAATCAATAACGGCAAGGCTGGGACAAAGCTGCAGTGCTTAAAAAGTGCAGCTGCTTCATTGAAGGAGGGCAAGAGTGTGTTCATTGATAGATGCAACTTAGATAAAGAGCAGCGGCTGGATTTTGTGAAGCTTGGTGGTCCACAAGTAGAGGTGCATGCTGTGGTGCTTGACCTCCCTGCCAAGCTTTGTATATCTCGCATAGTTAAACGTACTGGGCATGAGGGAAATCTTCAATGTGGAAAAGCTGCAGCAGTTGTGAATAGGATGCTGCAAAACAAAGAATTGCCTAAGTTGAGTGAAGGGTTCTCTCGAATCACATTTTGCCAGAATGAGGCTGATGTTCAAGCTGCTGTTAACACCTACACTGCACTCGGCTCTTTGGACATCCTTCCACATGGCTATTTTTGTCAGACGAATCCAAATGCCAAAACTCAAGTTAGCATATTAAAGTTCTTAAAGCGACCACATGAAACAAATAGTCAGGATTCTGTGCCTTCTCAACTTATTAAGGGTAAGGGTCCCTGCAGCAAATCACAAGAAACTGTTTCATCATTGTCAGGTGCAGCTAGTCAGAAGATAAAGGTCAGTGAAGACCCAGTGGCAGGTTTTATTAGTCAGCATGATTATGATGTTCCTACTCTGGCATTTCCGTCTATTTCTACAGCAGATTTCCAATTCAATCTTGAGAAAGCATCTAACATTATTGTTGAGAAAGTAGAGGAATTCATTGATAAACTTGGTAATGCCAGGCTTGTTTTAGTGGACTTGATTCATGGATCAAAGATTTTGTCCTTGGTTAGGGCTAAAGCTATAGAAAAGAACATTGACTCCAGAAGGTTCTTAACGTTTGTAGGAGATATAACTCAACTGCATTCAAAGGGTGGTTTGCGCTGCAATGTAATAGCTAATGCTGCCAACTGGTAAGCTCTTTATATGTATAATTTATCTGCCTGACATCCAATGGCTGAGTAAATAAGATGATTGTAACTTTTAGGTGGAGGAACTCCACTAGTAGCAATGTTTCATCTGTTTGAGTTCTTCAGATTTGCTGGTATAGGAACCCATGTGTAGGTAACTCCTAAGACCTTGTCCTCCAGGATAGATAATGTCCATGAAGAAAGATCGGTTTCTTGTTTTAATCCATGAGTTTTATGAAATGCAACATTTTGTCTATGTTGTAAGGTGTCTAACTTGATCTTAAACCATCAAAAACCTACTGGCATGTTTATTCTGTCTTGCATGAAATATTATAATTCTTTCATTCTCAGGATCTCACAACTAGTTAGACCTAATATGCATAGTTCTGAAAGTTTTTCTGTCAACTGTGAGGATGCAATATATCTTACCTGATTTGTAATAACACTACTCCTTGAAAATAAACATGATATTTCTCACGGATATACATCTTTTTTTATAAATGTCAACTAAAAATTCATTCTGTTTAGGCGCCTGAAACCTGGAGGTGGTGGGGTAAATGCTGCAATTTTCAATGCTGGTGGTCCTGCTCTAGAGGCTGCAACCACAGATCGGGCTAAATCTCTTCTCCCAGGGAATGCCCTGGTTGTTCCTCTCCCTTCAATTTCTCCTTTGTATAGTAAGGAAGGGGTGACCCATGTGATCCATGTACTTGGACCAAATATGAACCCACATAGACCAAATTGTCTTGACAATGACTATACCAAAGGCTGCAGAGTTCTTCAAGATGCTTACTCATCACTGTTTGAAGGATTTTTATCCATTGCTACTGCCCAAGTGAAGTTTCCCAGTAGAAGCAGTCAAAGTATTCAGTTAGAGCTTTCAATACCAGAAGATAAAACTGAGAATATTCTTAGGAATCATTTTTCACATAGTGATCAAGAGATTAAAGAATATGGCAACTATGAATCTGACAGAAGTAAGAAATGCAAGGAATCTGAAAATGAAGTTGTTGTTGTCATGAGCAAAGAACAGGAAATGGTTTCATCATTGTCAGGTGCAGCTAGTGAGAAGATGAAAGTAAGTGAAGAGCCAGCGGCAAGTTCTATCAGTCAGCGCGGTTGTGATGTTCCCACTCTGGCATTTCCATCAATATCTACAGCAGATTTCAAATTTAACCTTGAGAAGGCGTCTAATATTATTGTTGAGAAAGTAGAGGAATTCATGGATAGGCTTGGTGATGCCAGGCTTGTTTTAGTGGATTTGACTCATCGATCAGAGATTTTGTCCTTGGTAAGGGCTAAAGCTGCACAAAAGAACATTGACTCCAAAAGATTCTTCACATTTGTAGGAGATATAACTCGACTTAATTCAGAGGGAGGTTTGCACTGCAATGTAATAGCTAATGCTGCCAACTGGTACGCCTTTTGTATATATAACTTATATCTCTGACATCCAATGACTGGGTAAATAGTATGCTTGAAATTAATAGGTGGTGAAATCTGCTAGTAGCTTCTTTTTTTTTTTTAAATTCTTTGAATTTTGCTGGTACAGGAATCCACATATAGGAAACTCCTGAGACTTAATCCTTAAGAGTGGTTTCTGTCTATGCAGAAAGATCAGTTTCTGGTTTTAATCCATGAGTTTAACAAAATATAACGTTTTTTTTTATATTGTGTCTTGTTAGATGTATAATTTGATCTTAAACAGTTAAAAACCTTCTGGCTGGATCACTCTGTCTGACATGAAAGATGGTAATATTCTGGCCTTTTCGGGATCTTAGAACTAGTTAAAATAACATGCATAACTCTGAAAGTAATCCACTGTGATGATGAAATATGTCATACCTGCTTGATAATACCAATATTCTCTGAAAGTAAACATGATGCTTCCACTCATGCATAGCTTTCTTTTTATGAATGTGTACTGAAAGATCATCCTGTTCAGGCGCCTGAAACCTGGAGGTGGAGGTGTGAATGCTGCAATCTTCAATGCCAGTGGTTCAGCTCTAGAGGCTGCAACCAAGAATCAGGCTATGTCTCTTCTTCCAGGGACTGCTGTGATTGTACCTCTGCCTTCAATTTCTCCCTTGTCTAGTAGGGAAGGGGTGACCCATGTAATACATGTTCTGGGACCAAATATGAACCCAGAGAGACCAAATTGCCTTGATGATGACTATATCAAAGGCTGCAAAATTCTTCAAGACGCTTACTCATCACTCTTTGAAGGGTTTTTATCTATAGCTAAGACCCAAGTGAAGTTTCCCAAGAGAAGCAGTAAAAGTATTCTGTCAGAGCCTTCAGTACCAGAAGATAAGATTATCGGAACTATGACTAAAACCTGGGCCCCTTGGGTTCAATCTCTATATAACATTGCAATGCAGCCTGAGAAGTATAAGGATGAAGTGCTGGAGGCATCAGATGATGTTGTTGTATTGAATGATAAGTATCCAAAGGTAAATACATGCTGCCTTCTTCAATCCTCTCTTCTCTCTGGATAATTTTTAATAAATAAAAAAATGGATTTCGTTTCCCTTTTTGCAGGCAAAACAGCATCTTTTGGTGTTGGCAAGATTTGAAGGTCTTGATTGCTTGGCAGATGCACGTAAAGAGCACCTTCAGTTGTTAATGACAATGCATGCTATAGGTTTGAAGTGGGCTGAGAAATTCTTGCATGAAGATGCATCATTGGTCTTCCGCCTTGGATATCACTCGGTATGCTAAACATTGTTCCTTCTTCTGATTTTGGCTTTGTTTACGTAGTTTTAGGTCTGATAAACTTAAATGCTACTCTCAGTGCAAGACTGAAATTCAGTCTTGGAAATTGCAAGCTGGTAATTAGGGTTTTTTTGAGCTGAGGCTATATATCCTTGCCTTGAACATATTTGGCAGGAAAAGAACCTTATGTTTGTGTGCCGCATAATGCAGACTTAAGATTTGAATGAATCAAGAAGTTGGTGGAGTACCAAACAATGGGATCTTCTGTTAGATTCACTTTTATGCAACATCCAGTTATTGTAGCCAGGAATAGCAATATGATGCATCCATGCAGATGCCGAGGTTTGGAAAGTCCAAAAGAATATAGGTTGTGCATTGTACTCTTCTAGATGTGAACAAAGAGATAATATTATGGCCTAATATATTTATGGATGAAGTATTCAATACTGAAAGCTAAGGTATTTTAGGGACAATTGTATAACATTCATGAAAAAGTTTTAAGAATAGGGTACTATGGTTGTGCATCTAGGAGAATCTGGCTTGCTATGCATCTTGTTTGCAATCAACCAGTGCGTCTTTGTCCTTGTATATTTCATCATTCAATCTTCAATGGTTAGTGAATATCGGAAAACGCCATTTGAAAATATTGTTTCTTTCCTGTCTCCTCCTGCAGGTCCCCTCAATGCGGCAACTGCACCTGCATGTTATTAGCCAAGATTTTGACTCCAAACATCTCAAGAATAAGAAGCATTGGAACTCTTTCAATACTGCCTTTTTCCGTGATTCTTTAGATGTGATTGAGGAAGTTAGTAATCATGGAAAAGCAACATTACAAGATGATAACAGACTGATGTCAATGGAGTTGCGTTGCCACAGGTGTAGAAGTGCACACCCTAACATGCCCAGACTAAAATCTCATATCAGCAACTGCCAAGCTCCTTTCCCTGCTGCCCTACAGGAAAATGGCCGTCTAGTGCTTGCGCAAAGTAACTCTGGCTGCGACCCCTAGGTGTTTGTAGACCATTTCCCTCAGAATTTTGCTGTATATAGAATGAAAATCAATGGCTAAAAGTATCAAATCTTGCTCACTTTTTAGATCCGGAAATGAAATGCCTGTGAATAATGCCTCTATTTCTAGTTATGAAGAACAAATGGAGATGGGGAAGCCCCAAAAAAGGTTCTCTCGTATTCATGCTAGCTTCATTAGATGTATGTTATGTTAATAGTGATAACGGCAATGACATCAATGTCGTAATTGAAGTGATTCAGGGTGGTATAGTAGACAAATTTAAAAGGCTTGGACAACTTGGATGAGATGAGGGAAATCATGTTTGACTTTAATTCCATAGAGACCGAAAGCAGGGACCAATTATTATTTTTATTTACTTTCTTTACTGTTTCCTCAGGTATGGTAAACTATAGCTGGACTAGAAATTTGTTCTCTTCTTTAAATGGAAGCTCAAATACTAGGATATGGTCATAACCAGGAGCCAAGTTTGCACATTTTTCAAGGAAAATTTACAAAACAGAAATGCTGTAAAAGTCAAGGTCTAGGAACACCATGTCCGTTTTTCCTTGTTTAACAGAAGTAGAAGTCAAGGTCTAAGAACAACATTTCCATTTCTCCTTCTTTGAAAATATTTGGTATAGATTCTTTTGCTTGAGAGCGACATCGGTAGTCTGAATAAGAGGCCAGATTTCATTTTTCATAGGACTCGAAGCTTTTTAATCTTTGGATATGATCCATATTATCAGTTTTGCTTAATTCCCAAGGTTATAAAGCTTAAAAAAATCTTCTGAGAAAAGAACAAAAATGAATTTGCAGCATTTCTTGTGTGGGTCAATCTATCAGGACCTCCGGAAGGCTACATGTTCCATTGGCCCTTCAGTCTTGATCATGTCAATGGGTCCCTTCTTTACGCATCAAAGATAGCGAAAAATGAAACCAAAACATTCATTACTTAGAAATGGAATCCAAACTGAATGTACATAAAATATCTGGAAGCACTCCGCAGATCAAACAAATTGTTGGAAAAGACAGATTTAACTCCGCATCCATGAACTTGTGCTAGAAATTCTCATGTACTTAACAAGGGTTTGAAGCAAAAAAAATCGAGCATCCAAGAGTTCACTGAGGATTTGGGGGACGGCTGTTAGCAGCAGAGACCCTGGAGCCCCATTCCAACAGTTCTTTGCTAGTATCATCCTTGTGAACTATCACCTCAATGAAACATAAGCAGTCCTTCTTGGCTCCTGTTGCCATCTCAATAGCTTCAATGAGTTCTTCCTCGCAAAAGACCTAAAGACAATATCAAGTTTCGTCAGGGATTTGATTCAACACGATTTGAGCAAATGTGCCAAAACTTTGAATTAACTAACCTTGGTTGTCCAGCAGTTGCCTTCACCATTGTGAATTGCATCGACCAAGGCGGTGTAGTTCCAGTTCTTGATCACATTGTATGGTCCATCATGAATCTCAACTTCAATGGTATATCCACCATTGTTTATCAGGAAGATTATGGTATTTTGTCCACATCGCAGCATTGTTGATACATCTTGTGCGGTAACCTATTGAATCAATCACCAAGAACATTATAAACACGTGAATGATTTTGATAGTGCATTGGTTTTATATGGCATTGATTTCCTGAGCAAAAATATCACAAACCACAGGGCAAAAAATGACTGCAGGTACCTGGAAACTACCATCGCCAATGCAAGCAATGACACGTTTCTCTGGAACAGCCTGTGCATACCCAAGACTGGCACCAACTGACCACCCAATCGATCCATACTGCATTTGGAATTCATACCTGCCAAAAAAGATTCACAATTCAATGCCAAATTCAAAAACCACACTTTTTTTTCTCCTTTTCGGCTTTTGATTCATATCTAAGTTGGGAATCAACATAAACTAAAACCAAAGTTTGTTCTCTAATACTCACCCACATCCCCTAGGCAATTTCAGTTTCTGGCAGTTAAACCAAGAATCTCCTGTTTCAGCTATCACTGCAGTATCACTAGAGAGCAAATTCTGTATATGTTGAAACAGAACATTAACCCTCAAGGGCTCTCTAGGTGATGCCTTCAAAGGATGCCCCTCAGGAACAAAAATCCTGTGGTAATTCTCATAAGCAGTGTTATTGTGCTTGAGCCTCTTGGCAAGAGCTCTAAGGAAATCTTTCATCAAAACACATCCAAACGCAGGCCCATTAGCAATCACCACCCGTTCAGGCTGCACAATAATTGCCTTCTCTTTCTTAAGAAGCAGAGAGTAGCCAACAGAGCTATAGTCATTGAAAATAGGTCCAGCAAACAAGTAAGCATCAGCAGACTCAACGATCTCAGCACAAAAAGCAGTGCTAACAGCACCCCAGTAGGTCCCAATGAAATGAGGATGTTGCTCAGGGACCAGTCCTTTAGCTGATGGCATCACCGCCAAAGCATAACCACTAGCATCAGCCAACTCAACAAAGGCCTCGCATGCCTTCGCAACACGAAGCTTGGGTCCACCTACCAAAACAGGCTTGACCGCCTTGTTCAAGAACTCTGCTGTTGCCTCTACGGCCGCCTCTAAACCCATCTTATTACTCAATCTACACACATTTCCAAAAGAAAAAAACATTAACTTGACGGAAAAATCAGTCACTAAGCAATCTCTAGGTCGAAAAGATAAAAAAAAAAAAATACTTACTTTGGAGAGAGTGAGAACGGAACAGGCTCGCGGCTAAAAGTAGGGTGAGGAATTGCAGCCAAGTTGCAGCCGATGCTGATATAAACAGGCTTGCTTTCTTTCAAAGCAGTTGAAATTGCTGTATCGATCAATTCATGAGCATCCTCCAAGTTATTCACCACAGCCTAGTAAAAACCAAAGACCCCATATTAATCATCTGCCTAATCAAACCAAAACAGCAGAAAAAATATGAAAAAACAGGGTAGGGGGAAATCAAAGAGAGAACATTACCTGATAGCAAGTAACAGTCTGGAAACATCTAAGCTCTTGGCTAAAATCAGGTAATCCAACAGTGTGATGAAGAATCCTGTTAGTTCCATAATCATTGGAGTTCGGTCCTCCCACAATGCAAATAAGAGGCAGATTCTCACTATAAGCACCAGCGATCGCGTTCAAAACGCTGAGCCCACCGACGGTAAACGTCACAACGCAAGCACCAACGCCACGTGACCTGGCGTAACCGTCAGCGGCGTATCCAGCGTTAAGTTCATTACAGCAGCCGATCAAGTTAAGCTCCGGCTCAGCTATCAAATGGTCAAGCAGAGTCAAGTTAAAGTCCCCCGGAACAGAGAAAACATCGGTCGCACCAACCTGGACGAGCCGTCTGGCCAAGTGGCGACCCAGAGTGGCTTCAGAGCAGTTGATGACGGTGGGGGAAACGGAGCCCTGAATGGTAGCAACAGTGCCGTTGGGTGGGCTCCCGATGTCGTTGGAAGTCGGTTTACACACATCAAGTGACCCAATCTTAGTATCCATTCTAAAGAACAAATTTTTCACCGCTTTGGCGATCAGGAAGAGAGCTGACGGAGATAAATGTAGAGAGAAAGTCAGAAAAAGCTTGATGATTTCTTTTTTCAATGGAATTGGAAAATTTGTTTCTATGTGGAAGCAAAAAATAAAGAAGAGGAATTTATAAGAAAGTGCGTGAGTGGAAAATGATTACCGCGGGCGGTTTTGCGTAGACATGGTGTCTAAGACGACGGTGGTTTGATTTCTGTGGATTCTTACGTCCCTCGTATCAAAAATTGTTTTATAATTTTTTGGTAAGAAACTAAAAAGAATGTTGGGCAAGGAGTGTGTCAAACACGCGTTTGTTTAATTAAAATAATCCCGTAATTAACTAATTAAGATTGACTAACCTATTAGCTAAAAAAAAAAGACTATATCTTCTTTCTAGGCATAGCATGTAAAGTTATTTAATCATAAAGATAGATTAATGGTCTCTCATTTCATTTGAATTCAAAAGAAAATTATTTTTTTAAAATGTAAAAATCCCTCGAGATTAGTAACAATGTACAAAAAAATAATTTAATATGTTGCAAAAATTAATCAAATCGATTGAGAATAAAAGCTCAACTTGAATAACCGGTTCATAATTGAATTAATCAAATTTTGTATATCATATGTTTATATTATAATTTATAAATGGTTTATTTTCAAATATATAAAATTTTACAAATTTTAATATAAATTACATTTAAATCAAAATATTTTACTTTCACGAAATAAAAAATTAAAGATTTAAAAATAATATTAATTATAATTCTATTATAAGAAAAGATTAAACTAAAAATAACGTCGATGAAGGCTTAGATTTGCATGGACATGGGCAAGCGTGGCAGCGCCACTGTGGTCCACGTGAAAACAGTCGTGGTGCTAAAGGAGAGTGAGTCAATCAAAGCGTCAACTGTCAAACACGTAGTGAGTTTGTTGGTTGAGTTGTGTCATTGTTTTTGACCGCTTCAGCTCCTGTTTCTTTCGGAAGTAAATTAATTATAATTCTTTTTAGGGTAATAATTACTACATTTTTTGCAATTTTAATGTTTAAAAAGTTAAATTTTTTAAATTTTTATTTAATAAAATGATCAAAATAATTTTAATTGAATATTAATTTATTTCTTTACATTTTTAAAAAAATATTTAAATAATTTTATTATTTAAAATTAACTAGGGGAATGTTTCAGTATGTGCTCTTTGGTGGAAGAATCCAACTTTAATAGCAGAAGCAGAAGCACTACTTCTTTTACCAAACCTTTCCATTATTGTGTCCGACTGATAAAACCAGGAGCAAAACAAGTATCTGTTTCACTTGAACAGTTCCGTCCACCGGTTTCGGAAACCATTTGAAAAAGGCTTTCTTCTTCAGACAAAGGAGATTCGGCATCATCAACTCTTAACAGGATTTTACAACCAAATGTCTTAAAAGGGAAATTGATTGTAATCTTATTTTCTTTTAAATTTATTTATTTATTTTTATTCAATATATTGATCAAAATCTAGCTAAATGTAGTAAAGGGCTAAAGGCATAGGCAAATGGGATTAGAGTGTGAAGAAGAATAGAGAAAAATCCAGATTCATACCTTTTATAAGCATGGACTAAGGTCTAATATATTAAATGAGTTATAAAGGTGTGTCTACAAATAGTACGCTATTTGTTTAAATTATAATAAATTATGTTG